TGGAACCTCAGAAATGGCACCTGCAGAATGTACAGCTACAGCTACATGAGAGGAGAGAAACAGAAGGTCCCAGTTGCTGTGGTGGACTGGAGAAACCTCCCCAAGTGCACCATGACAGTCTCCAGTATGCTGTATGATTCTGTCGAAACACTTGTCAATGATTCCACATTGTCTGTGTCCAACGACTGGAAAATTGGTCTAGATATCCCAGTGGAAACTTCAGCGAGTGTCGGGGTTGGGTTCGGAGGTTCCCACTCCAAGGCAGCAAAGTTTGGGATGACGAAGTCCAAAGAAGACCGCTACAGCTTTGTTCACCATTCTGTGGACTGTAACTTCTACCAGTGAATACAGAAACAGACTGATATTTGAAAGTCAGTTCACCATTAAATGGCTCAAGTATTTTTTGTGGGTTACTATTCAAGTTAGTTAAATTTATTTAACGTATTTAGTTTAAATGACAAAAGTCATCCAAGGGTTTTATGGAAAGAAATAAAAGTCCAAACCATAAATTTAATTTAAATCTGGATTTAAATCCAATTCATTCCAGGTCTAATACTTTTAAAAACAATAGATTATCTAATTCCATCCATCCATCCATCCATCCATCCATCCACACCCGCTTCTTCTTTTTTGGGTCATGGGGGTCACAGGTGCCCATGTCCAGCCATCGCTGTGCAAGAGGCATGGTACACCCTGGACAGGTCTCCAGTCCATCACAGAGGCAAACGAGACAAACAACCATTCACTCTCACTCACACGTAGGGACAATTTAGAGTTATCAATCAGCCTAACATGCATATTTTTGGTCTGTGGGAAGAAACCCGGAGAAAACCCATGCATGGCCGGAGAGAACATGCAAATTCCACCCAGAAAGGCAGAGGCCAGCAGATTCTTTTTTTTTGTTTGTTTGTTTGGTGGGTAAAATTCCTTTTTTGGAGCAGAACATTGACAGCAGTGAAAGAAACAGCTCCATGTTAGCATGAAAATACCTCAGAACAAACCTCTACTCTGACATTGAACAAAATGTTCTGAAAATATCCCTGGGAGTTGGGTCAGATGGCTTGAATTAAAGTACTACGACTACTGAGCCAAACCAGAAACAAAAATTTGAAATTTGATTTTACTGCAATAATATGCTCAAAATAAGACGGTGGCAATCAGTCACTGAGTTTTTTTTTTTTTGTCTTTCTCTGCTCCACAGTTACAGACTGACAGAAACTCCTCCCCTGAGTCACAACTTCCTGTCAGCTGGGAACTCCCTTCTTCCTTGTTCTGCTGCGAAGGCGCCACTGTATCGTGATCTGATCGACACATTTGGGACACATTACATCACACAGGTGTCTCTAGGGGGAGCAATAAAAGCAACGACTTCTTTCAAGACCTGCTTGGCGTCCATGAGTGGTCTGACAGCAACAGATGTCAGCGATTGTCAGTTGAAGCATCGGCAAGCTTTCCAAGCAGTGCTAGCATTAAGGTCATGTACAAACACTGTCAGGAAAAGAAAAAGAACTTGGACTCTGGTCCATGTTTCAGTTCTGAGTTCAGTGAGCGATTCACAGAAGTCATTGGTGGGGATGAACACGACGGTCTGTTCTTTCAAGATGATTCAAACACCGATGTCCAAAAGAACTGGCTAAATCATAGATAAAGGTGATTTGCATGCTGGTCTCAAGGTTCAACTTGTTGTCTGGTCTTTTAAAGTCTTTATGGACATCTGGAAGAAATACGTTAACTATCTTTGCTCTTACAAAAGAGCAATCCACGTTATGGTTTTGTGAGTTTTTGCCCTTAAAATAACAAATTATTAGGGACCACCTCAGGAGGAGCAAACTGAAGATTTTGACGCAGTCATCAGTTTCTCCAGACCTAACCATCGTTGAACATCTCTGAAGACCTCAGAGGAGCAAGTGAGCCAAGTGTTCCAAAGAACACAGGAGTCATTAGCAGGAAAATAAAGAGTCAAAAAAGACTTAAAACACTCAACAGCTTAACTACTTCAGACAGTCAGATGGCTAGCAAGAGGGTGGATGTATGCCTTGACTAGATGTTCATGTCAGCTGCAAACAGCCTATGGGGAGTCTAAAGAAAGAGGAAGTCTCTAAAAATGTGTACTATGGGGTGTCAAGTTTGACCACAGTTTGAGATAAAGAAGTAGTTCCTTTGAAACTTGTTCTGAGCCGATTACAGTAAAGGGTTTGAACGTTTCTATATAAGACCATTCCAACACTTTGACGCTGCTGCTAAACCATCTGTTGTCTTCAAAGTGAGTTTTAAATAACCAAGAGACTTTGCTCATATGACATTTAATTTGCAGAAGCTCTATGAGCAGTCCTAAATCTTCCAATTCATATTATCCTGGCTTGAAACGCTGAGGCTGCTGAGGAACCTCCTATGGTGCACATAGCACTTTTTGTCCCTCCTTATTTTAAGATGCTGTATGTATTTGTCATTATGGCTGTCAGTAACTTGTTTTATCACTCTATGACTTCAGGATCAATTTCCAGGCCTGTCTGTTCCTTAACAGATTTTTATTTACTGTCGTCTGCTTTCCTGTGAATACATATATACATGTATGTAAATACATTCAAGTACCATTGCATCAATTATTAAACCATTTGTCTAATAGATGAATCCTAGCCAAAACTGGATCCACATGTTGTGATCTGCAAACAGAAGACAGGAAATTAAATAACCTAAGATCTTGCAATAGTCAAACACCACACCTAAGCCTAATAAAAACCTGTTTATGGAATTTAAGGATCTGGCTTTAGTTGTTTTTATGATTATACCTTGTGTTTGTCATGAATATGGAGTCCTCTTGTGCTTAGTATTATTACTTGTGTTTGCCTTTATGTTCATTATTGCCCTTGTCTATGTTTTGTTCTGCGTCTACTTTTCCCACACTCACCTGTTCCCAGTTGTCTTCTTGTCAGGTGTTTCTGATAATCTTCATTAGTGGGCAGCATAACGGCTTAGTGGTTAGCACTGTTGCTTTGGGTTCAGTCCCCAGTTTGGAGCTGGTGTCACTCAGTGTGAAGTTTGCATATTCTCCTTGTGCGGGTCTTCTCCGGGTACTCCGCTTTTGTCCCTCAGTCCAAAAACATGAATGTTTAGGTTGTCTTCAGGCCCAGGCCTCCGTTACCAAAGAGATCTGTCATCTCAGTGAGATTTGCCTGGTTAAATCAAGGTTAATAAATAAGGTCCTACAATAGATTGTCATTTCAATGACTCTTTGGGTGGGGAACTGAAAATATTATTGAGCAGTGGAAGACACTCTTTTTAAAGAGGTCCACCACTGAGGAGGCAAAGCCTGGGATGCCAGCAGAGGTCTCCAATGGCAGATTTCTAGTAGTGGTTGAGATTTGTTCTGGGATGCTGATGAAATGGAAGGAGGAACAATGACTGTACAAGGAGCAAAGGTCACAAACGTGCAGGAATTAAAGTACCGTAATTCTTGGGCTCTAAGCCGCTCATACTAAATTTAAGACAAATCATAATTTTGTACATAAATAAGACGCTTCAGTTATTAAGCTTCGGGCATCCACCGTTCACTATTAGAATCTGTGCCCAGCTCCTGGCATTATGAGCAGCTATTGTTGTACAAGAAGAAGCAACTGGATGGCGTTACATAGACTATAGCTTGCTATCAACACACATGCAGGATCGTCATAAGTCTTCATGATGCTTCGCTGATAATAATAAGTCAGTCTTCACCAGAATTGCCGGTGTAGAAGCCAAATCATAATTCAGACTGAATGCTCCATTTTTTCATTTCTGCACTTCTGTACAGGAAGTGGCCGGCTCCGTCTGCGATTTATGAACAGCCAGAGGGAGGATAAAGACGGACTGGTCTATGCCCCCATTTCACAGAACTGTTTAACGAAAGAACCTTTAGAGTTCCCTCTTTGCTTTTTGTGAATAATGTGGTTCTGTTTGCCAAGGTCTTCAGAAGGCATTGTTATGGATTGCAGCTAAGTGTGAAGCAGCTAGGATGATAGTTATGTCCGCTAGGTTTGAAGCCATGGCTCTCAATTGGAAAAAGGTAGAATGCTCCTTCTGGATTGGGGATATTCTTGTCAAGGAAGAGTTTGTGTCTCAGTAGAGTGTCCTGTTCACCAATGATGGCAGCATGGACCAACAGCCTGGTACTGGACTGACTGTTACAATAGTGCTGTTTCAGTCTATGACTGTAAAGAAGGAGCTGGGTACAAAGAAAAACTTCAGTTTACTCGTCCATCGACAATTCGATGAGATATGGATCATGACTAGAAGAACTACTGAGCTGCAAAAAAGTATTTGACCCAAACAGATTTTTTTTATTTTTATGATTTTGTGACACTGAAGACTTTCAGATTATCACATAAAAGTTCATGTCAGATAAAGACAATCTGAGTAAATGCAAAAAACAGTTTTCAAATGATGATTTAATTTATCACGTCAGTGGAGAAATGTTGCTGTTGTGATTTGGATCATTGTGTTGCACATCTAAATACCTTTAAAACAAACATATAAATTGTGTTGTTTTATTTTTAATATTGCATCATGTTGGTGGTGTATAAAGTAATTGCTAATTATTTTCTTTTTTTTTACAGAATGAACTGTAAGTTATTAAAGATGTGAATGCCGAAAAACAGCTTTCCTATTATTTTGTGCAATCAAGTGTGAGGGAAGTAAAATGTTGAGCACATTTATGTGATTGTGGGTGTTATAATCTATGTTAGTTTGAGATAGTTGGCAAAACCTGCTAGAGCTGCTCTGACTATAAAACTCCAGGACCACGTCAGTTTTGTCACAGGTCAGAGACTGCTGTCCACAGTCAAGGTGAGCCTTCAAAGTTCTGACTTGTCTGCAACATTTGTGAACTATATGCAATGGTTTTATTACAAATTAAGATGTCATGATATGGTATAAATAATTTAATATTTAAAAATGTCAGCCCATAGATGTTTTATCTCCATCCTTGCTTAATTTTACTTTAAAATTTGTGTTGTTTCATTCAGATGGCAGACCTGTGGAAGCCTTTGCTTCTGTTGTTGGCGTGGAGTCCTCTGAGTTTCTCCTCCACAGTCAGCTTCACTGGTTCACCACAGGAATGTGAAAAGGCTCACTGTGTCCCAGGGTACAACCTGGGTGGGGAAGGCTTCGACATCGTCACCATGGAGAGAAAAGGTGCCTATGTCATCGACACCGAAACGTGGAACCTCGGAAATGGCACCTGCAGAATGTACAGCAACAGCTACATGAGAGGAGAGAAACAGAAGGTCCCAGTTGCTGTGGTGGACTGGAGAAACCTCCCCAAGTGCACCATGACAGTCTCCAGTATGCTGTATGATTCTGTCGAAACGCTCGTCAATGATTCCACATCGTCTGTGTCCAACGACTGGAAAATTGGTCTAGATATTCCAGTGGATCCTTCAGCGAGTGTCGGGGTTGGTTTCGGAGGTTCCCACTCCAAGGCAGCAAAGTTTGGGATGAAGAAGTCCAAAGAAGACCGCTACAGCTTTGTTCACCATTCTGTGGACTGTAACTTCTATCGGTGAGTACGAGGACAGATTACATTTGTAAAACTCGTATGTGTTCATTTAACAGAGAAAGGGCTTCAACGTTTTTAAGAATGTTTTGATGTAAAAGTGGAAATGGTAAATGTGTTTCTATTTTACATTAGTATGCAAATGCAATGTGTTTTACATTGAGGGACAATTCATATATTAGTATGACTGGAATTAGATTATGTACAGTATCTCATACATTCCATATTTTATATTTACTTTATTTATAAACAGTATATATAAGCTTACATTAGCATTCTTTCAAGGAAAATCTATCATCCACTGCCTTTCATGCCAGAGTTAAAAACTAGAGTTGCAGCTGTTTTGGTCAAACCTTATAAATGAGCTATGCATGATTTTATGCAATAATGTGAGACTTTGCAAGAACTTTCAGCGTTTGAAGTATGTGATGAAGATAACTCTCAGACACAGACACACCACATTTAGCTCAATATCTGTAAAGTTAACTGAAATTAGACAGTTTTGTGTTTGCTAAAATGTACTAGCTGTGGTGAAAAAATGTTCTGTGTTGTTAACAAATAGGGTTGTTGTCAAGAGTTGTGCTTAAAATACGTGTTGGGAGGATTCTCTGCTACTACCATTCCAAAATTTACTGCAACTCAACATCTGTAAACCAAGAAACACACACATGTACACAGACAAGAGTAAAAGTCAAGTCAAGTCTGATTTATTTATATAGCACATTTAAAACAGAAACTGTTACCAAAGTGCTTAAAACCCAAATCTCACCTTCAATGGCACAAATGACAGTAAACAAGCGATGCACTGATGTTCCTCGTTGCTGACAGATTTAATGTTTATAGTTTTTAAGATGAGTGTTTTTTTTTCTGGACAAGAATTTATCAGAGAATGCAAGTAAACCTTAATATTTTTTGGTGCCAGAGGCAGCGCAACATGCTGGATTCTGGAGAGTTGGAATAATTTTATCCACCACCAGGTGCAAGTGGTGGGGGAGTCAAGAGGTGGCCAGTGGTGGTTGCCATATGATCTTTGGCCACCCCACCAGTGACCCCCAATTTTTTTCTTCATATTTCCTCATGCAACACCACACCTCCTCCCTCGGCACTCTGTCATATGCTTTTTCTAAATCCACAAAGACGCAATGAAGTTCATTCTGATTCTCTCTGTACTTCTCCATCAGCATCCTCAAAGCAATGATGGTGTTTGTTGTGCTCTTTCTGGGCATGAAACCATCCTGCTGCTCACAGTCACCTCTCGTCTAAGTCTTGCTTCCACACCTCTCTCCCAGATCTTCATTGTGTGACTCATCAACTTAATTCCCCTATAGTTGCTACAACTCTGTACATCACCCTTGTTCTTAAAAATGGGCACCAGCACACTTCTTCTCCATTCCTCAGGCATTTTCTCACCCTCAAATATGCCATTTAATATTTGAGCCAAAAACCTCACTGCCATCTCTCCAAGACATTTCCAAACCTCCACTGGTATGTCATCAGGTCCTACTGCCTTCCCATTCTTCATTCTTTTCAGAGCTTTCCGGACTTCACTCTCACTAATCTTTCCCACTTCCTGGTCCACAGTTTCTATGACCTCTACTCTTCTTTCTCTTTCATTCTCTTCATTCATTAGCTCCTCAAAGTACTCCTTCCATCTTCCCATCACTTTCTCCACAGTTGTTAGAACATTTCCATTCCTATCTTTAACAAGCCTAACCTGCTGCACATTCTTTCTAGCCTGATCCCTCTGTCTCGCCAATTTGGTACAAGTCCTTCACACCCTTTTTAGTCTCCAGCCTCCCATACAACTCATCATATGCCTTCTGCTTTGCCTTTGCTACCTCCCTCTTTGCTCTACATCCCATCTCTTTATATTCCTGCCTCCTCTCTTCAGTCTTCTCACTGTCATATTTTTTCTTGGCTAACTTCTTTCTTTGAATAGCTTTCTACACTGCAAAATTCCACCACCAGGTTTCCTTATCATCCATTCTCTGTCCAGATTACACACCAAGTGCTTCCCTGCCTATCTCTCACATTACTGTTGCTGCAGTAGCCCAGTCATTTGGAAGCTATTTCTTACCACCCAGAGCCTTTAACAACTTGTCTCTGAATTTCTCACATTATTCTTTTCTCAGCTTCCAAAATTTAGTCTTCTTCTCTGATTTGACTCTTTTTCTCATCTTCATAACAACAGTCAGTACTATTAGGATGATAATTGATAACGAAAGTGAATGGTTATAGTACACCCGTAATGAAATCAAAATGCTACTGTAAGGAACAAATAACATTTTTTGTTTTTCTTTGCTCCACAGTTACAGAATGACAACAAACCCTCCCCCGAGTCATGACTTCCTGTCAGCTGTGAACTCACTTCCTCCTTATTCTGCTGCAAAGGCGCCACTGTATCGTGATCTGATTGACACATTTGGGACACATTACATCACACAGGTGTCTCTAGGGGGAGCAATAAAAGCAACAACTTCTTTCAAGACCTGCTTGGCATCCATGAGTGGTCTGACAGCAACAGATGTCGGCGATTGTTTGTCAGTTGAAGCTTCGGCAAGCTTTGCAAGCAGTGCTAGCATTAAGGCCATGTACAAACACTGTCAGGAAAAGAAAAAGAACTTAACCTCTAGTCGAAGTTTCAGCTCTGAGTTCAGTGAGCGATTCACAGAAGTCATTGGTGGGGATGAACACGACGTTCTGTTCTTTCAAGATGATTCAAGCACCGATGCCAAAAAGATCTGGCTGAACTCCCTCAAAACCACACCTGATGTGGTCCAGTACAACC